ATTAAAAAAAAAAAAAAAGGGCTACCACTGCAATCTGGTGTTGAGAATGTGGGCTGACATCACAGCCCAAATACTCTTGCCCTCAAATAATTTTTGAACTCTCAGAACATAAGCAGGTATATAAAACAACCTCTACTGAGATGAACAAGTGTGAAACATGTGACTCTATCTCACATAGGGTGGTTTTCTGGAGGCTGCTGCCTGATTTAACCCCCTTTCTTACCTCCTATCCATATCCAGGGCCCTTACTCCTGACCTCTCCACCAGGGAGACCAGCAATGAAATAAGGCTCAGATGAACCAACAACTTTTTTTCCTTTTTTTATAGAGGCAATCAAGTTAAACACAAATGTTTGTTTCACACATTCATTGACAATACTTTTTTTTTTTTTTTCTTGAGACGGGGTCTTGCTTTGTCGCCCAGGCTGGAGTGCGGTGGCACGATCATGACTCACTGCAGCCTTGACCTCCCAGGCTCAAGCAATGCTCCCACCTCAGCCTCCCAAGTGGTTGGGACCACAGGCACACACCATCACACACTGCTAAATTTTTGCATATTTTTGGACAGGGTTTCACCATATTACCTATGCTAATCTCGAACTCCTGTGCTCAAGCAATTTGCCCACCTCAGCCTCCCAAAGTGCTGGGATTATAGGCATGATTCACTGCACCTAGCTGACAATACTTTTTTTTTTTTTTTTGAGATGAAGTCTCACTCTGTCACTCAGGTTGGAGTGCAGTGGCATGATCGTGGCTCACTGCAAGCTCCACCTCCCGGGTTCACGCCATTCTCCTGCCTCAGCCTCCCGAGTAGCTGGGACTACAGGCGCCTGCCACCATGCCCGGCTAATTTTTTTGTATTTTTAGTAGAGACGGGGTTTCATCGTGTTAGCCAGGATGGTCTCAATCTCCTGACCTCGTGATCTGCCCGCCTCGGCCTCCCAAAGTGATGGGATTACAGGCATGAGCCACCGTGCCTGGCCAGACAATACTTTTTTTAAGTCAAAAGTTTAATAGAATTATTACTTAAAATGTTACTATATCAAAAAGGAAGCTACAGGAAAGGAATGTTTCAAAACTCTGGGATGGTCAACAGGGTCCCTTGCTAATGTGAACATTAGATTTACCCCCAAGGCAGTGACTGGTGACCTTGGCCAGAGCTCTCAATAGAGTGGTAGAAGCAGAAGGCAGATTCCAGTGGACTGACTGACGACAGGCAGGGAAAAAGTAAATAAGGCTGTGAGTGTGGACAAGTCCTTTAAGGAGTTTGGCTCTAAGGTGACAAGAAATAGGGGACAGTAGGCTAGGTGTGGTGGTTCACACCTGTAATCCCAGCACTTTGGGAGGCTGAGGCCGGTGGATCACCTGAAGTCAGTAGTTCGAGACCATCCTGGCCAACATGGTGAAACCCCCGTCTCTATTAAAAATACAAAAAAATTAGCTAAATGTGGTAGTGGGCACCTGTAATTCCAGCTACTTGAAAAGCTGAGGCAGGAGAATCTCTTGAACCTGGGAGGCAGAGGTTGCAGTGAGCCAAGATTGCACCATTGCACTCTAGCCTGGGCAACAAGAGTGAAACTCTGTCCAGAAAAGAAAAGAAATAGAGGGGATGGTAACTAAAGGGGTGCATGTTGGGCAAGGGTCTCCATAAAATAGGAGAAACTCATGCATCTTTAAGTCCCTGTTTAGAAGGCAAATCCATGCTCTACCTCTGGACAATAGGAGCTCTAGGACCCCAAGTCTGCATTCCCAGACTTGGTTCCTCCAAAGACCCCACACCAGGCTGCACATCCAGGGAGAAGAGGTAGAGCCCTCCAACAAAAGAAGGTTGGTCCCAAGATACTAAACAAATAAAGTGTTGTGTTGCATCTTTAGATGCTTTCCCACTGCGGCTGTCTAAGGTGGGTGTCTGGAGTAGAGCCCTGGTGGGTGGGCAGGTACTCTTCATAAAACTGGAATGGAGTAGAGTGAGGCTGGAGACTGTGCTGTCTTGACCTCTGCCCAAGATGATCAACCACCTGGGGCTTCCCCAGCTACTTAACTGCTTCCTGCTGAAAAGCGCAGGGATTGGGAAAGAAACTGCCACCTGGCACCTTTGGACAATTGCCATGGCAATCACAGGCCAGGCATTTTATTCCAGTCATTGCCTGGGAGTGGTTCTCCCACATGTCTTGTTTTCTGTGTTACAGGCTTATTACTGTACAGCCTCCAGCCCTCCACTTTCATCTTGCAGAGCAAGGTTCTTTAGCTACTGTCTTTCTTTGATGCCTGGAAGGATTTGCCCTGGAGTGTCAGAAATTTGAGACTTTATGCAAGTGCACAATAAACACTCTGAAATTGAAACTGATCCAATGGAGAGTGCTGGAATTAGTGAGGGGCAGTGGATGTGTCCTGCAAGGTCAGAGGAGACACAGGCCAAGATAGTTTGCCTTCCAGCTCCACGGGGTCTCCCCACCCTCAGTGAGTGGGCTTGGGAGGTAGATGCTTGGGATGCTGCAAGGGACATGGTCAACACCTTAACCAAATGGACACATGACCCAGTTAGTTTCGAGATAGACTGGGTCACATCAATCATTCTTCACCACCTGCCACCCTAGGACTGCTGAGAACCCTTACCCACAGGAATTATACGGCCCTGCTGCCCCAAAAAGATACGATCCGAGTCAACAAGAAGGAGAAACAAGGACCACATATTTTGAACTCCGGCTAGCCTGGCCTATGGTTCTCAGCCCAGCCACACATTAGAACCAACTGTGGAGCTTATAAAACACGCCCAGTATCTGGACTCCACTATAGTAGATTTAAATTCAGTTGAGGAGGAGCCAGGGCATCTGTTTTTTTTTCTTAAGTATTTCAAGTGTGGAGAACAACTGGCTGCTCAAATAAGTGGCCAGGCTTCACACCTGATCCCATGGCTTCCTAGCTGTGTGACCTTGCGCAAGTTACTCAACATCCGTAAACCTCCATTCCCTCAGCTATAAAACAGTACCTGCTGGCCAGGCATGGTGGCTCACACCTATAATCCCGGCACTTTGAGAGGACAAGATTGGAGGATCATTTGAATCCAGGAGTTCAAGACCAACCTGGGCAACATAGCAAGACCTCATCTCTATAAAAAAAGAAAAAGAAAAGAAAAACAGTACCTGCTTAATGGAGTTGTGGGGAGGATTAAATGAAAGAATGCATGTCAGTGCCTGGCATTGTGCCTAGCACGTAGTTAAGTGTTCAGAATGTTATTCTTATTGCTGGAGCAGCAGTTGTTACCTCTCTAGAATCCAGGTTTGAAGGTATATAAGTAAGAAAGTGCCATTTCCAGTGACCAGGGACCAAGGCCTGTCCTTTTCCCAGAGTGGAGTTGAAGAGTGTTAGTCAGAGCCAGGGTCAAAGATTGCTTAGGTCCTGGTATTGGCACTCAACTTTGGTTACTCTTAACATTCTAGTCCTGCACTCTCCATTCTGAAATAACGAAAATGTTCTATATTTGGGCCGACAACATAGTAGTCACTAGCCACATGGGGCTATTTAACACTTGAAATGTGGCCTATGTTGCCGGGGCATGGTGGCTCACACCTGTAATCCCAGCACTGGGAGGCTGAGGTGGGCAGATCACCTGAGGTCGGGAGTTTGGGACCAGTCTGACCAACATGGAGAAATCCCGTCTCTACTAAAAATACAAAATTAGTCGGGCATGGTGGCGCATGCCTGTAATCCCAGCTACTCGGGAGGCTGAGGCAGAGAATTGCTTGAACCTGGGAGGCGGAGGTTGCAGTGAGCTGAGATCGCACCATTGTACTCCAGGCTGGGTGACAGAGTAAGACTCTGTCTCAAAAAAAAGAAAAAGAAAAAAGAAATGTGACCCATGTGACTGGGGAACTGAATAATTTTATTTAATTACAATTCATTTAAAGTTGGCTGGGCACGGTGGCTCCCACCTGTAATCCCAGCACTTTGGGAGGCCGAGGCAGGCGGATCACAGGATCAGGAGATCCAGACCATCCTGGCTAACACGGTGAAACCCCGTCTCTACTGAAAATACAAAAATTAGCTGGGCATGGTGGCGTGCGCCTGTAGTCCCAGCTGCTGGGGAGGCTGAGGCAGGAGAATGGTGTGAACCTGGGAGGTAGAGCTTGCAGTGAGCCGAGATTGCACCACTGCACTCCAGCCTGGGGGACAGAGCGAGACTCCATCTCAAAAAAAAATAATAATAATAATTCATTTAAAGTCAAACAGCTACACATGGCTGATGGCTACAGAATTGGAAAATATAGCTCTAGGCTGGGCATGGTGGTGCACGCCTCTAATCCCAGCACTTTGAGAGGCCGAGGCAGGCAGATTGTTTGAGCCAGGAGTTCAAGACCAGCCTGGGCAACATGGCGAAAAGCTATCTCTACAAAAAAAAATACAAAAAAATTTGCCAGGTGTGGTGGTGCGCACCTGAAGTCCCAGCTACTCAGGAGGCCGAAGTCAGAGGATGGCTTGAACCCAGCAGGCAGAGGTTGCAGTGAGCTGAGATTGTACTACTGCATTCCAGCCTGTGCAACAGAGTGAGACTTTGTCTCAAAAAAAAAAAAAAAAAAAAAAAAAGAAAGAAAGAAAAAGAAAAGAAAATGTAGCTCTGGACATGCATGTGCATTGAGGATGGGAGTAAATCAAGATATAAAATTTTGAAAGATAGTGTGACCAAGCATTTTCCCTTCTATTATCTCATTTGAGCCTCAGAAAGTCCTATAAAGGAGACATAACAGGCACTAACAGCCCTGCTTTATAGATTAGAGATGTTAAAAGACCTTCCCCAGATCACAAAGAGCATAGAGGCACAGCCAAGCCTGGAGCGAGGCAGACTTCTGGATTTCAAACCGTTGCTTCTTCCTTTCATCAGTTACAAAAGCTTTCTCTTCATGGAAGCACCTCACATCAGCCCTTCAGCTCCTGTGAATGTCTCAGTCCCCTGGGCGGGCCCCAGGCCCCCTATCTCCTCCCACTCTCCCCTGTGCTACCCACCTGGAAGAGTTCCTGAACCTGAGCATCCACCCACTGCTCCATCTCCAGCCAGCGCTGGAGCTGGCCCCGGTCATACTTCACTGTCAGGCGGCTGGGTCTCCGGGACCTGGGTATCTTGGAGGAGTCCGGGTGGGACTTGGACTCTGAGTCTGTGGATGATGTCCTCCTCCTCCCAGAAGCCCAGTGGACCTTCTTACATGGGTTCTCCCCGTCTGGGCTGGGAGATGTGCAGGAAGCAGGGCTTGAAGACAGCATGGAAGGATCGGCCTGGGCAAGGAGCTAGGAAAAACCGCCAGTTCAGAGCAGGGCCACGGAGGGAAGTGAGGAGACAGAGAACAGGAAAGGCCAGCAGAGAAGAAATAAAGGCAGGAGGAGGGCCAAGGCTCCCAGGGAGGGGCAAGGGCAAAGATCAATAGGACTTTGGTGCTGGGAATGCCAGTCTCCTGGCTCCTCACTGCCAGCCAGTGAGTGGCACTCCAGAGCCATGCCCCAGCCTCCCTTTCTGCAGCTTCTTGGGCCCAAAGTGGCATAAAGTGCAGATGAGCAAAGGTCAAGAGGCTGCCATGCCCAGCGAGGAGGAAGGGGCCCTGGGGTCCTGAAACGTACAGGGCTCCAATTGCTGCTCTATGGCCAGTTCTGGAACGGGACCTGAATCGTTCTCACCTGGGATCCTTCTGTATCCCACCTTCTTGGGGCTAGATCCACTCTGGGCTCTGAGAAGCCGTGGTCAGATTCCGCAGAAGCAGCGTCCCTGGCTGGCAGGGATTGTTACTCAGAGTGTAGCACCACTGGGGGCAGAGTCCCAGCTGGTGGATGGAGTTGGAGGTCAGTTATCCATGGCTCCCACGGGACCAGTGCCCCCAGTGTCTGGGTGTGTCCAAATGTAAACTGTTATCAGCCTGGCCTATAAAGGCAGTTTACCTGCTTGTAAAGGCAAATTTATCAAGCCTAGTCTACCATGCCCGCTTGCCTGAGGCAACTGCTTAGGAAGCCATGTTTATGACCACGTGACCCTCCCCTGATTCATATATTTCCTGACACAGAGGAAACCTGCAGACCTAACCTATACACAGGTGTCAGGGACTAATACTTCCAGGCATACATACTTGTATTCTAAGGCAAGGTATTTTTGTTTAGTCTTTTGTAATGAAAATTGCTAAACTTTTTAAAAAAGTGACAGAAGAACATTGTAATTTTTTTTTTTTTTTTTTTTTTGATGGAGTGTCGCACTATCACCCACGTTGGAGGGCAATGGCGTGATCTTGGCTCACTGCAACCTCTGCCTCCCAGGTTCAAGCAAGTCTCCTGCCTCAGCCTCCCAAGTAGCTGGGATTACAGCCACCTGCCACTATGCCCGGATAATTTTTTGTATTTTTAGTAGAGACAGGGTTTCACTGTGTTGCTCAGGCTGGTCTCAAATGCCTGACCTCATGATCCACCCGTCTCGGCCTCCCAAAATGCTGGGATTACAGGAGTGAGCCACAGCGCCCAGCCTGTAATTTTTTTGAAATGGGGCCAGGCACGGTGGCTCACACCTGTAATCCCAGCACTTTGGGAGGCTGAGGCGGGTGGATTGCTTGAGCTCAGGAGTTCAGGACCAGCCTGAGCAACATGGTGAAATTCCATCTCTACAAAAAAAAAAAAAAAAAAAAATACAAAAAATTAGCTGCTTTGGGAGGCCCAGGCGGGAAGATCGCTTGAGGCCAGTAGTTCAAGACCAGCCCGGGCAATATAGCGAGATCTTGTCTTCATTAAAAAAAATGTAAACAATGGGCCAGGCACGGTGGCTCATGCCTGTAATCCCAGCACTTTGGGAGGCTGAGGCGGACAGATGACTTGAGATCAGGAGTTAGAGATCAGCCAGGCCAACATGGCGAAACCCCGTCTCTACTGAAAAAACAAAAATTAGCCAGGTGTGGTGGCGCATGTCTGTAGCCCCAGCTATTCAGGAGGCTGACGCAGGAGAATCGCTTGGGCCCGGGAGGCGGAGGTTGCAGTGAGCCGAGATTGTGCCACTGCACTCCAACCTGGGTGACAGAGCAAGACTCCGTCTCAAAAAAAAAAAAAAAAAAAAAAAAGTAAAAGATGAACAGTAAGATTACTCAGATATGGTGGTGCACAACTGTCATCCTAGTTGCTTGGAAGGTGGGAAAATCACTTCAGCCCAGGAGTTCGAGGCTACAGTGAGCTACGATAGCAACACTGCACTTAAGCATGGGCGACAGAGCAAGACCCTGTCTCAAAAAAGGAAAAAGGCGAATGGATGACAGTTTAATGATGAAATTTTAGGCCCTCACTTAAGAAGGTGAGGGAGGTGTTTGAGGTGTTGGAAGCTAAGATGGCAGCCAGGAAAAGCCCTGGCTTTGGAGGAAGGCTGACAATCTGAGTTCAACTCAGCTTTGTCCTGCATTGGTTTCATAATCCTTGGCCAAGTTTCATAGTCTGTTTTCACATCTGCAGATTGGGCTTGTTGGGAAGATAAAATGAGATGATGCCTGTAAACATTTAGCATGGCATCCAACACAGAGTCCCTGTCAGTAGACATTCATTCCTGTCCTTTATTTACCTCCCCGCTCTCCCTGCCCTCGTGGCGAGGCTCTGGTGGCCAATGCCTGGGCTTTCATCAATGTGGCTCTCTTCCTGAGCAGGAGGAGGGGGCCTCTAGGATGCATCTTGTTGACTCAGCTGTCACTTTAACACTCTGTAGCCAGGAGGCATTATTATGATAGTTCCCTGCCTCTTCTGTTCCCTGTCTTCTGAAGGGTTTGAGAGCCCTTTCAGGAAAAGAAACTAAATGAGAAGAGTCACTGTGTTTTGTTCATTTATTTACTCACTCAGTTAACAAAGATTTTATGAGCTCCCCTGGTAGGTCAAACATTATGCTCAGTACTGGAGATTGGTTATTCAAAAGAGACACAGGATGGGAACGGTGGGTCACACCTGTAATCCCAGCACTTTGGGAGGCTGAGGCGAGAAGATTGGTTGAAGCCAGGGGTTCAAGACCAGCCTGGTCAACATAGTGAGACCTTGTCTCTACAAAAACAAAACAAAGCCAGGCACGGTGGCTCACACCTGTAATCCCAGCACTTTGAGAGGCTGAGGCAGGTGGATCACCTGAGGTCAGGAGTTTGAGACCAGCCTGGCCAATATGGTGAAACCTCATCTCTACTAAAAATACAAAAATTTAGCCAGACGTGGTGGTGGGCACCTGCAATCCCAGCTACTTGGGAGGCTGAGGCAAGAGAATTGCTTGAACCCAGGAGGCGGAGGTTGCAGTGAGCCGAGATTGCGCCTTTGCACTTCAGCCTGGGCAACAAGAGCGAAACTCCGTCTCAAAACAAACAAACAACAACAAAGAACAAACAAAACAAAAAACAAACAAAAAACAACAAAAGAGACAGTTCCTTGCCTTCATGGAAGGAACTTATAGTCTAGTGGGAAAATAAATAAACAATAATCAACTAATCAAATAAATGTAAAATTGCAATTTCATTTAGTGATTTGAAGAAAAGTAGGAGGTGCTATATGAATGTCTAATGAAGGTGTAACCTGGAGAGTGATAACATCTGGACTGAATTCTGACAGATGAGTAGGAGTTAACCTGGCCTAGGAGCCAGCAAGAATTGGCCTGGCAGAATGCAGAGAACATGCAAAGGCCCGGTGGCAGAAGGGAGATGGTGAGTACAAGGGACTAACAGGGTCAATGGCACTAGAACAGAGGGAGGAGAGAGGGAAAATGAGGCAGGAGAAAGGGCTGAGATACCCACGCAGGGCCTTGTAAGCCACATTGAGGAATTTTCTCTCCATCTAAAAGGCATTGGGCAGTCACTGAAGAGTCTTAAAAGATGGTGCTTGGGCAAGTTGACATATTCAGATTTAAACTTCCAAAAATCACCGTGGCTGTTGCACAGAAAGACAATCAGAGGGCGCAGAAGGGCTGGTGGAGGTCAGCTAGAAGGCCATTGCAGTAGAGCTAGTAGGGGAGGTAGTGCTGTCAATGGCAAGAAGCAGGCAGATTGGAGAGCTATTTAGGAGGTAACATTTAACAGATACTGACTGGTAATAGGCTGGGGACACACAAACATGCAAACTTTATGAAAGCCTACACCAGGACAGACAGATGCATGCATGCAGACTCCACGAACGTGTTTCATTCGTAAACTGGGGGTTGGTAAGATTCTATATGAGCACTCAGCGTGGATACCATGAAGCTTGATGGCACACTAATGAGTGATGTCCATTATTTATAGCAAGAGGCGCCTTATTGATATCCTTCCAACTTAGCAGTGACCCACATCTCCTCCCTGGCCTATTGGTGCCACCATTCATCAGTAAGTTTGCCCAAAGATAAGGGAGCTCGAGATCCAAGATGAGATGAGAGATAAAAGCCACCAGGAGCACACAGCCACATCAGGGCAGAAAAAGAGGGCGGGGGCCTGGGCAGGGAGAAAGGTGCCTGCCTGCTCTCCTGGCTTGGGCCAGGTCCAGTGCTGAGATAAAATGGGCAGCAGGCAGACCCCAACAGAACCAGGTTGCTCTTTTTAAATGCCTTTTCTTTTATTAAAAACTTTATTATAGAAGAAAAATATGTTTATTTATAAACTTTTTTACATTTTCTAAAACATGGCTGGGCATGGTGGCTCACGCTTGTAATCCCAGCACATTGAGAGGCTGAGGTCGGGAGTTCGAGACTAGCCTGGGCAACATGGTGAAACCCCATCTCTACTAAAAATACAAACAATTAGCTGGGCATGGTGGCCGTGCCTGTAATTCCAGCTACTCGGGAGGCTGAGGCAGAAGAATGTCTTGAGCCCGGGAGGTGGAGGTTGCAGTGAGCCTAGATTGTGCCCCTGCTCTCCAGCCCAGGCGACAGAGCAAGACTGTCTCAAAAAAAAATTTTTTTAACATTCAAAATTTCCCATAATCCCACCAGACAAAAACCACCACCACTAACATTCTGACAAGTTTCTTTCTTGTCTATTTTTTTCTAGTCTTTATATATATTTTTTATTTTATTTTAATTTAATTTATTTTTTTTTGAGATGGAGTCTTGCTCTGTCACCTAGGCTGGAGTGCAGTGGTGTGATCTCAGCCCACTTCAACCTCTGCCTCCCTACTTCAAGCTATTCTCTTGCCTCAGCCTCCTGAGTAGCTAGGACTACAGACAACTGCCACCACGCCCAGCTAATTTTTGTATTTTTAGTAGAGATGGGGTTTTACCATGTTGGTAGTGTGGTCTCAAACTCCTGACCTTAGGTGATCTGCCCACCTCGGCCTCCCAAAGTGCTGGGATTACAGGCTTGAGCCACTGCACCCGGCCCTCTACACATATATATTTAACATAGTTAAATACTATATACAGTTATTTGGAAAACTTTTAAATTAGTATGATTATTCAAGAAATGAGTTTTTAAGAAGATGTGCTCATTGTGGAAAACTCTAAAATACAAATGAATAAAGAAAAGTATAAATTATCTGTTTGGTTTATTTATTTTCCATTTTTTTCATATATTGTTTGGGTTTTCACCAAATTAATCATTTTCTAACTTTATGAATACATTTTATAACAATATATTTTGGATACATTTTATGTCATTAAGTAGTTATATTTATTTATTTTTTGAGACAGAGTCTCACTCTGTCGCCCAGGCTGGAGTACAGTGGTGAGATCTCAGCTCACTGCAACCTCTGCCTCGAGGATTCAAGTGATTCCCCTGCCTCCTGATTGCTGGGATTACAGGCACCTGCCACCATGCCCAGCTAATTTTTTTTGTTTTTGTTTGTTTTTTTTTGAGACAAAGTCTCGTTCTCGTCCCCCAGGCTGGAGTGCAATGGCACCATCTCGGCTCACTGCAACCTCCACCTCCTGGGTTCAAGCGATTCTCCTGCCTCAGCCTCCTGAGTAGCTGGGATTACAGGAGCCTGCCACCACACCCAGCTAATTTTTGTATTTTTAGTAGAGATGGGGTTTCACCATGTTGGCCAGGCTGGTCTAAGAACTCCTGACCTCAGGTGATCCGCCCACCTCGGCCTCCCAAAGTGCTGGGATTACAGGTGTGAGCCACCATGCCTGACTTAAGTAGTTTTATATACATCTTTTATTAACACTTCAGTTTTTCAAAATTTGGACCATGACTCAGAGTAAGGAATTTAATATCACAATGTACACGTGTACAAATATAAAGCTAAATTTCTTATGAAGCAAAACTTGTCCTTACTCTGATATTTTTCATTCTATTTAATTTTATTTTAACTTTTCAAATGCCAGTGGCAAATCCCTTTACTGTTTTTAAAACTCACTAATGAACCCCAACCTGTTCTATTAGAGGTGACTCCATGATTTAGTCACTCAATCCCATCTTTAGATGTGCGGATTGCCACCAATTTGCCATTATAAATAGTGCTCCTCTGCTGAACATTTCTGTAACTATTTCTTTGTTAGCATCCATGATTTCTCTTAAGAGAGGTTTATAGATGTAGAACTACAAAGTCAAAGAATGTGCAAAATTGTAGGAGGCTTGATTTTTTTTTTTTTTTTTTTTTTTTGAGACGGAGTCTGGCTCTGTCGCCCAGGCTGGAGTGCAGTGGCCGGATGTCAGCTCACTGCAAGCTCCGCCTCCCGGGTTTACGCCATTCTCCTGCCTCAGCCTCCCGAGTAGCTGGGACTACAGGCGCCGCCACCACGCCCGGCTAGTTTTTTGTATTTTTTTAGTAGAGACGGGGTTTCACCGTGTTAGCCAGGATGGTCTCGATCTCCTGACCTCGTGATCCGCCCGTCTCGGCCTCCCAAAGTGCTGGGATTACAGGCTTGAGCCACCACGCCCGGCCTAGGAGGCTTGATATTTATGGCCATATTAGTTCCCTAAAAGGTCGACTAAATAAAGAGTTTATAGTCTGATATCCTCATTTTTTCAGTGACGAATGTATTAGTTATCTTTTGCTGCATAACAAAGCATTCCAAAATTTACCAGCTTGAAACAATAAGCATTTATTATATCACTGTTTCAGTAGGGGGGATTCTGAGAGTAGCTCAGTTGGACACCCCAGCTCAGGGACTGCAGTCAAGGTGTCAGCCAGTACTATAGTCACCTCAAGGTCCAAGAGCAGGAGGTCCACTTCCAGGTTCACTAACAAGGGTGTTGGCAGGTCTCAGGTCCCCAGAGGCTGTTGGCTAGAGACATTGGATCCTGCCATGCAGGCCTCTCTGGAGGCTTACTTATCACATGACACCTTGCTTCCACCACACCAAGGGCACTAGGAGAGAGAGAGAGAGAGAGAGAGAGAGAGAGAGAGAGAGAGAGACAAAGAGAGAGAAAGTTACAGTCTTTGTAACCAAATCCAGGAAGTGACATCCTATGATTTTTGCTTGATTCTATCCATTAGAAGCAAGTCACCAGGTCCACCTACACTCAAGGAGAGGAAATTATACAAGGCATTAGTACCAGGCGGTAAGGATCACTGGGAGCCATTTGGAAGCGACCTACCACAATGGCATATTGTGAGCATTTTTTTCAAATGTTTAATTTTTTTTTTTTTTTTAAGACGGAGTCTGGCTCGGTCGCTCAGGCTGGAGTGCAGTGGCCGGATCTCAGCTCACTGCAAGTTCTGCCTCCCGGGTTTACGCCATTCTCCTGCCTCAGCCTCCTGAGTAGCTGGGACTACAGCGCCCGCCACCTTGCCCGGCTAGTTTTTTGTATTTTTTAGTAGAGACGGGGTTTCACCGTGTTCACCAGGATGGTCTCGATCTCCTGACCTCGTGATCCGCCCGTCTCGGCCTCCCAAAGTGCTGGGATTACAGGCTTGAGCCACCGCGCCCAGCTAAATGTTTAATATTTTTAATAATGAAAACATTTTAAATTTATTCTCTCGGCAATTTTGAAATGTACAGTTCTCAATTATTAGTTATATTTACCATGTACAATAGATCTCATACAAAAATGTCAAACTTCCTCCTGAGGCTTTGTATCCTTTCATTATCACCTCCCTGTACCCTCCACCCTCATGTGAGCATTTCTGACATTAGAAGAATTCCTCAAAAATAATCCTTTAGGACACAGGGAAGGGAACAACACTGGGGCCTGTGGGGTAGGTTGTGGGGAGGGAGAGCATAAGGATAATTAATGCATGCAGGGCTTAATACCTAGGTGATGGGCTCATAGGTGCAGCAAACCACCATGGCACATGTTACCTATGCAACAAACCTGTACATCCTGCACATGTACCCCAGAACTTAATAAAATAAAAACAGGCTGGGTGCAGTGGCTCATGCCTGTAATCCCAACACCTAGGAAGGCCGAGGTGGGTGGATCACCTGAGGTTGGGAGTTCGAGACTAGCCTGACCAACATGAAGAAATCCCGTCTCTACTAAAAATACAAAATTAGTCAGGCATGGTGGCGCATGCCTGTAATCCCAGTTACTCAGGAGGCTGAGGGAGGAGAATCACTTGAAGCCAGGAGGCAGAGGTTGCAGTGAGCTGAGATAGAGCCATTGCATTCCAGCCTGGGCAACAAGAGCGAAACTCTATCTCAAAACAAAAAAAAAATCCATAGCCAAATGAAATTTAAGAGTTTAATTGAGCAAAGTACGATTGGTAAATTGGGCAGCCTTCTGAGCCAGAGTAGGCTCAGAGATTTATGGACAGAATAAGGAAAGTGATGTACAGAAAATGGAAGACAGGGACAGAAACAGCCAGATTGGTTACAGCTCAGTGTTTGCCTTATTTGAAGAGGGTTTGAACAGTTGGCCCCTTTTGATTGGCCAAAACTTGGTGTTTGGCACAAGGGTAGATTATAGGCTGTTTCCACCTCCATTTAGGTGATAGTTCACTATGTACAGAGAAACCTTTAGGTGAAACTTAAAATACGTAAGGAAGCTAAATTTGATTTAACAGAGCTGTAGCACTAACTGAGAGGGACTGTCTTTTTAAAATAAAAGTTAAATTTTCTGGGCACAGTGGCGCCTACCTGTAATCCCAACACTTTGGGAGGCTGAGGAAGAAGGATGGCTTGAGCCCAGAAGTTAGAGACCAGCCTCAGCAATATGGCGAGACCTCGTTTGTACAAAAAATTTACAAAATTAGCTGGGTGTGGTGGCACGTACCTGTGGTCTCAACTACTCAGGAGGCTGAAGTGGGAGGATCGCTTGAACCAGGGAGGTCGAGGCTGCAGTGAGCTGTGGTTGTGCCACAGCACTCCAGCCTGGGCAACAGAGCGAGACTCTGTCTCAAAAAAAATCATTTTTTTTACTTAGATCATTAAAACTAAAGTTTATTCCATAAATATATTATCTGTTTCAGTTATTACTGGCACACAAACCACCCCCAAAATGTAAAAGCCTAAAACAGAAACAGTCATTTATTTGCTCATGATTCTGTAACTTGGGCAGGGCTTGGCAGCGTCAGCTAGTCTCTGCTGAGGCAACTTGACTGAGGCTAAAGATGCAAGATGGCCTCACCCAGCTCCTCAGTCGGGGGCCGGCGTGGCTGGAAGATGGCAGGCCCTTCTCTTTTCCTTGAGAGTCTCTCATCCTCCAGGGCCTTGTTGTCTTCAGGTGGCATCTCTCTCATGCAGCACAGACAAACTTCTTTATATCACAGCTGGCTCTAAAAGGGAAAAACAAAGCTACGAGATTTCATAAGGCCTGCAAGTCACCGGGCCCCACTTCTGCTAGGTCCAACTGGTCAAAGCAAGTTCCAGATTCAAAGAGAAGGAAAGTAAAAGACACCTTCTAGTGGGAGAAGCAGCATGTACACACAGGAATGGGAGGCGCTGTCGGTGGCCACATTTGCAGACAATCCACCACTCCTACCTACAGAAACTGCCAGACCACTTCCACACAAGGCAGTCAGTGCTCCTCTTCTAGTAGTGGTGTAAGAACTGAATATTCTCATCAAATCATCCACTCCTGAAAGCAATGATTGGTATTTGTGATGTGGCAAATAGAAATGGAGCCTGTGGCACAGGGCTTCTCTTCCCAAAGCTTGCAGTGGGAAAGTGAACTACACGGCCTAAGAAAAGAGTGAGCTACATGGCCTAAGAAAACAGCTACACAGACTTGGCCAGGCACCGTGGCTTATGCCTGTAATCCCAACACTCTGGGAGGCCGAGGCGGGTGGATCACTTGAGGTCAGGAGCTCAAGACCAGCCTGGACAACATGGTAAAACCCCGTCTCCACCAAAAAATAAAAAAAATAACCAGACATGGTGGTGGGCACCTGCAGTCCCAGCTACTTAGGAGGCTGAGGCAAGAGAATTACTTAAAGCTGGGAGGCAGAGGTTGCAGTGAGCTGAGATCATGCCACTGCACTCCAGCCTGGGTGACAGAGTGAGACTCCATCAAGAAAAGAAAAGAAAAGAAAAGAAAAGAAAAGAAAAGAAAAGAAGAGAAGAGAAGAGAAGAGAAGAGAAGAGAAGAGAAGAGAAGGAAAGGAAAGGGAAAAAGAAGAGAAAAGAAGAGAAGAGAAGAGAAGAGAAGAGAAGAGAAGAGAAGAGAAGAGAAGAGAAGAGAAGAGAAGAGAAGAGAAGAGGTGAACTCCCCATAGGGCCGGCAGTGTAGAGTTAGAAAACAGTATCATTTGCAAATACTTTGCAGGAAGGCAGCTCAAATTAAGGAAAGGGCCTAAGGTTGGCAGTCAAGAGACCTGAGGTCTGGAGCTGGCCTTGTGTCTATGAACAAACCAAGGCCAAATCTCTGGGCCTCAGTTTGCTACATATAAGGAGAAGGGTTTTTGTTTTGTTTTGTTTTGTTTTGAGACGGAGTCTCGCTCTGTCGCCAGGCTGGAGTGCAGTGGCGCGATCTCAGCTCACTGCAACCTCCACCTCCCAGATTCAAGTGATTCTCCTGCCTCAGCCTCCCAAGTAGCTGGGACTACAGGTACATGCTACCACACCCAGCTTATTTTTGTGTTTTTAGTAGAGACAGGGTTTCACCATGTTGGCCAGGATGGTCTCAATCTCTTGACCTCATAATCCACCCACCTTGGCCTCTCAAAGTGCTGGGATTACAGGCATGAGTCACTGCGCCTGGCCGGGTTGTTTTTTAAAATTTATTTTTTTAGACACTATGTTGCCCAGGCTGGTCTTGAACTCCTGACCTCAAGCAGTCCTCCTACTTTGGCCTCCCAAAGTGTTGGGACTGCAAGCGTAAGCCACGGTCCCCAGCCAGGGGAAGGGTTTTAGCTGAATCTCCTCTGACAGCTCTGACACTCTCTGCCTATGCAAATACTGAACTTCATCCAGGGAACGGTTGGCTCTGTACACTCTGCCCCAGAGAAGTTCTTGGGGATCACTGAGGGTCTGAACAGGTGAGGGACAGATGAAGGCAGGGCCGGAGGAGGGAACCACATGGCAGTGTGCAGGGTGGCCTGGAGTTCCATCATGAAGCTGGCACAGAGCCTAGATCAAGAGCAGCAGAGGGAACAGACAAGAGATGCATGTGAGTGATTACCATGGAAGACTGTCATCAAATATGGTATGTGGAGGTCATCACGGTGTGTCTCTCTCTTCATTATGGAAGCATCCCATGTTCACTGAAGGGATCTTGGAAAATATTTTTTAAACGAGAAAGAAGAAATGTTATCCTATAGACTCACCATTCAAATACCATCACTTTCACTACTTCGATGGAATACCTTGTAGTCTTTCTTCTCTTCATATGTAGTTTTTCTTTTTAGTATGTAAGAAGTAGCATAAGGTAGTATTTGGAAAGTACGGCTTTTAATGTCAGAAAGACTTCAGATACAATCCTGGCTCTGTCACTTTTTTAAAAGAATCATTTCAACTTTTATTTGATTTATTTATTTTTGGGACAGGGTCTAGTTCTTTCACCCAGGCTGGAGTGTAGTGGCATGATCATAGCTCACTGTAGCCTTGACCTCCCCAGCTCAAGCAATCCCCCCACCTCAACCTCCTGAGTATCTGGTACTACAGGCATGCGCCATTATGCCTGGCTCTGTTTTTGTATTTTTTTTTTATAGAGATGGGGTCTTGCCATGTTGCCTAGGCTGGTCTTGAACTCCTGGGCTCAAGCAATCCTCCCGCCTCAGCCTCCCAAAGTGCCTGGATTATAGCATGAGCCATTGCGCCCGGCCTCAACTTTTATTTTAGATTCAGTGGGTATATGTGCAGGTTTGTTACATGGGTATAGGGTTTGGGGTACAGATGAGCCTGTCACCCAGGTAGTGAGCATATTACCTAAAAGGTTGTTTTTCAGCCCACGTTCCCCATGCTCCCCTCCCTCCCTCTCTCTTCCGGTAGTCCTCCGTGTCTATTGTTCCATCATCATGTCCATGTGTAGTCAATGCTTAGCTCCCATTTATAAGTGAGAACATGTAGTATTTGGTTTTCTGTTCCTGCCTTAATTTGCTTAGGATAATAGCCTCCAGCTGCATTTGTATTGCTGGCAAGGACATGATTTTGTTCATTTTATGACTGCATAGTATTCCATGGGATGTATGAAGTACGTTCTCTTTATCCAATCCGTCATTGATGGGCATCTAGGTAGACTCCATGTCTTTGCTATTGTGAATAGTGCTGTGATGAACGTACAAGTGCATGTGTCTTTTTGGAAAAACAATATATTTTCCTTTGGTTATATACCCAGTAATAGGATTGCTGAGCTGATGGTAGTTCTAAGTTTCTGAGAAATCTCCAAGTTGCTTTCCACAGTGGCTGAACTGATTTACATTCCCACCAACAAGGTATAAGCGTTCCCTTTTCTCTGCATCCTCACCAGCATGTGTTGTTGTTGTTGTTATTTCAAGTAACATTTATTGAGAACTCTCGGTGTCAAATGCTTTATCTGCATTAACTCATTTAATCCTCATAAAAAACCCTATGAAGCCCCATTTCCCATTCAAGGAGACTAAGGCACAGAAAGATCAAATAACTTGCATAAGGCCACACGAATAGTAAGTGGCAGATGCAAGAGCTAAACCCAGTAGTCTGAGTCTGAAGCTCACAAGTTTAACTTCTCTACAACCTGTCACCACCCTTCATTTACTGCCTGACCTTGATGGAGTCAGTGAACCTTTCTGCAAAGTGGAAACAATTTCCAGAGTTGTCCTGAGCATTAGCAATCCTATGTCAAGTGCCTAGAGGGAACACAGTGGGCATCTCAACAAATGGTGGCTGCTCACCACGTGAAAGTGAGTTACCCCACCCTGGATAACACAGAGAAACCCCGTCTCTACTAAAAATATGAAAAATTAGCCGGGCATGGTGGCGGGCGCCTGTAGTCCCAGCTACTCAGGAGGCTGAGGCAGGAGAATGGTGTGAACCCAGGAGGCGGAGCTAGCAGTGAGCCGAGTTCTCGCCACTGCACTCCAGCCTGGGCGACACAGCGAGACTCCGTCCCCCCCAACAAAAAAAAAAAAAAGTGAGTTACGGGTTCAAGCAAGTTGAATCTGAGGTGAGGGCAGAACTTCCAGATGAAGTCAGAATTGCAAGGACCATAAAGTCCAGGGTTTAAGCACTGAAGCCATGGGGTTGGCCTGCTTGGGCTCCAATCCCTACTCTGTCACTTTACTGTTGAATGACCTGACAAATCAGTTTACCTGTCTGAGCCTGTTTGCTCATTTGTAGAATGGGACTAAAAACAGTACTTCCCTAGATTTGTTTTGAGTATAGGGTAATGTATGGGCAGTGCTTAGGAACAGACTTTAGGCATTGTCAGTGCTGAATTCATGTTGGTTTTTATAATGGTGTGTGTAATGGATGTAATGATAAATTTATGGTAATGTAATATTACCATAAGGTAATATTCCCCTGTATTAAGATTCTTGAGGTTGGGCACAGTGGCTCACGCCTGTAATCCCAGCACTTTGGGAGGCTGAGGCAGGTGGATCACCTGAGGTCAGGAGTTCAAGATCAGCCTGGTTAACAAGGTGAAACTCCGTTTCTACTAAAAATACAAAAATTAGCTGGGTATGGTGGTGCGCACCTGTAAGCCCAGCTACTTGGGAGGCTGAGGCAGAATCACCTGAATCTGGAAGGTGGAGGTTGCAGTGAGCCGAGATCATGCCATTGCACTCCGGCCTGGGTGACAGAGCCAGACTCCGTCTCAAAAAAAAAAAAAAAAAAAAGAAGGCCGGGCGCGGTGGCTCAAGCCTGTAATCCCAGCACTTTGGGAGGCCAAGACGGGCGGAT